CAACCTGCCGATCGTCCAAAAGTGGCCGTAACTGACAGGTACAGGAGTAGTAAAGCTCTGCCAGTTATTGGCCAGTGAGTCTATTTTTAGTAGTACAAAGCACTCTGAGTTCAATAGATTTAAAATTGACTTACACACATAAGCACACAGACAGGCTAATACTCGAGGAATGTCACAGATCAGGTGTCGACTTTAGCAGGACAGGTGAGATCAATGACAAAAGCTGAAACATGAAACATGACGGCTAATTATATCATCAATTAGCAGCGTCATCGCTTCAATTCTGTCTGCTTTTTCTCGTTTTCAATTGCATTCGTGCACTGAACAGAGGAGGAAAAACTGCTCGATAAAGTTAGCTAAGCATTCTGCATGACGGCCGAGGACGTGCATGCCAGCGGCCAATGCACTCCACGTCCTTGCCTCCTCATTGTCGATTGTCAATTGGGCAGAGGCAAACAGAGAAAGTTGAGGGGAGAGAATGAAGCAGAACAAGAAGATTGGCCAGTGCTCAGAAACAGAAAAACATGTCTTATGATGACCACCACCAATTACATCGATGCTTCGTGCTAAACACACTCACTCACTCACAGTTCCCGGGCAGTGAAGGTTGAGGGCGATCAAATAGCAAACAAACATGTTTAAGGGAAAGTTAAACTCACAAACTGTTTAGATGTGATTTTGCAGACGTGAGCAATGGATAATCGCTGTTGCAAAAGAAAAGCGTAGTCAGGTTCAAGTGTAGCTTCTGCTTTTGCTGCTGATGACTAAATATAAAGCGTCGATGACCTTGACAGTGTCGAGGCCGGAGATAAACGCACCTAAGGATGTGTGCAGAAGATGCTGCAAGACCAGGTACAACTCGGACTGTCACTGTCACAGTCAGCAGTCAAGTTGATGATAAAAGTAGATTATATGATCAAAGTATCTTCTCCTTCTTTCTCTGCATTGCTGTTTTGGCGCCCCCATTAATAGAAGAGGGGAGATTTTTCTTGANCACTGTCACAGTCAGCAGTCAAGTTGATGATAAAAGTAGATTATATGATCAAAGTATCTTCTCCTTCTTTCTCTGCATTGCTGTTTTGGCGCCCCCATTAATAGAAGAGGGGAGATTTTTCTTGACGGCCGCCTCATCACACTTGTGATCAATCAATTAGTGTGTTTGCCCAGTGTTGTTCCATCGATGAGTGACGTGCGTGCGACCTGATACTGACGAACTCTATGCATATATTCATTGACCTGAGTGCACACTTTACAGAGACCAGCCTGCAAACGGTGATTGTGGTGATGGTGATGGTGCCCTGTGTGTCAGCAGCAGCATCATCATTGCCGTTGCAGTAGCTGTGGCAGCTTCCACAGAAACGGCAAACTCGCGCTCAGCAACAGGAGCAGTCACTTCGGCAAACAATGGCCATTGACCGCCACCTTCCAATTAGCACACAAAATGGCCTCCTTGTCTGCTCTAATCTGATTTACTTCCATTTTATGCGTTTTGCACTGCTGTTGTTGTTCAATTCTAATTGATTGTATAAAAAGCTGACGAGGAAAATATGTCTGCCGACTGCAGGCACTGCCTGAACAGTGGAATATGTGTGTTTGGACAAATTACGTAGTACTTATCTACAGTATTCACGTCCGATAAGCAGAGAAAAGTGGGCACATTTGCACTGTGACCATTAAGGTCAGATAAGGGTGGCCACGAATGGGTTGGTTTGCGGCAGGATCCTTGCGCCTCAAAAAAGGTCACAGTTGAACTGTGCTCCAAACGACCTCAATCATAGCAATGGCTGTTTTGGGAGGAGAACAAAGCTACTGGTCGTACTGACTTAACTTCAAATAGTAATCCACTTATCGAGTGACCACTTGACCGTTTCCACATTTGGCGACTCGGTGGCGGCAAAACGCTTTAATTGCAAGCGGATACAGTTTAGCCTTTAATGACATGCTTAGAGAGCTAACCTTAGACTACTGACCATTGACAAGAAACTGTTGTTTGGGTTGGCAATTAATGAGTGTGCAAAAAGCAAAGCGATTATAAAATAATAATAGTTTATGAAAACATGTTAGCCGCCTTCTTTGGACACTGGTCCAAATAGTTCAATAAAGCGATTGAGGTGATAGAAATGAGAACTTCTAGTTTTTTCAAAAGTTATTTATATCTGCTATGATAAAACGACATTGCGCACTCACATTTAGAAGCGGTGGTGGAGGTGTTGATGGGTAAAGGTCATTTGTTAAAAAGCACACTTGACAAATGAGGCTATAGAACTTGAGCAGAAAAAAAGAACAATGAACACTGTTTCAAGTTGTTGATGATAGTCAAAGAACTGCAAACACAAACAACAACAAAAAAGTCTCACGTATCAATGGTTCAGGTTTTCAATAGAAATTGAAAGTGATGATGGATGCACTGACCGCACTAGTGCTCACTGCTTTGTCCAATGACGTAAATGTGAAAAGGTCTCACTGACCACAACCGCTGGTCTATTCATTACCGAACAATATCAAACATAAAAGTGCAATCAAGTTTCTTTAAGTAGGCAAAAAGAAGAATGAAAACGAGACGCTACCACATCAGGAGGATGACATAAACACGCACAGGTGTTCGATGACCAAGCGCAGACATCGCAAAAGACCGACTGCTGCAGTTGAAGGGCACCATTTATACTCGTACTCGTGTGCAGTGTGGTCGATTACACTGCCCCTTGTGTGTCTGTGCATCTCTATCGTCTTTCATAGCCTCGTGCAGATCTAAAGAACTTTCACTTTTGGCCGCAGTACTGGCCACTGAGCATGGGGCATTCATTTCCCTACGATGAAGTGAGTGAGTGAGAGTATGTGCTCTTTGGCCATGCACTGCCACTTCGGTGGTCAGCCAGAAAAAGAGAGAGCCATTGCAGTTTAACGCGTGCCAGTCCAGCACTTCTCTGAACGGTGCGACAAGTGTCAGTGTGGCGCCAGGCGTCTGCAGCAGCAACAGCTTTCTCTACAGACATTCGTTTCTTTCTGTAGAGCTCTTGAAAAAATATCTGTCACTACGACTTTTGCGCTGCAGTGAATGGCCACGGTCTCATCAGACAGACAGACACACTGACTTTACCTGTTGCTTGTTGGTCGGTTTTTCTCGCCCAGTGTCACTGTCGCTCATCGCTTGGCCACTCAATCGAGATCGCCACAGTGCACACACACACACACACACACAGGCTTCCTTTTCTTTTTCTTCGTTGTCGCCACAACTAAATGCAAATTTTGACCTTGATACGGTGTCGGCCATTTGGTGTGGTGATGGTGGTGGCCACATTTGCCAAAAGTAGGCGCAAAAGGCGAGAGCACAGAGAAAGATTCTCAGAGACCGAGACCGTTGCGGTCATTACTACGGTTGTGGAGTAAGCATAGCGATGATGCTGCTAATGCTGTACTCGGACACAGCATCAGCAGCATCACATACCAATCATAAGGCAACACCGAATGGCAGGGGCAGCCATCATCTGTAGCTCATCAGTGAGAAAGCACTGTGCTGCTCATTCTCTTTCTCTCAACTGGACACAGCTCATTCGTTGCACACCATCATCTTGTTGTCAATTGCGGCAATGTTGTCTCAAGCCATTAGCTAATTTTGACAAATGTAATTAAATCGATTGTTTCAGAGAGAACAAAAAGGGGACTGACTGCAAAGTCACTTCAAAAGTAGTCCTGCAGCTGGCCACAACTAATTGCACAAAGTCAATCCTCGTTGTTGTCCATTTGTGCCCTAAAGCTTCTCGGCTACTGCTGGTCGAGAAGTCAAAGAAAATGAGAACTACTCGTGCCACTGTCTTCATTGTCGGCGTTGTTGTTTTTTTATTCTTTGTTGTAGTATATAAAACACTGGTTTTGCTACTACTTTCTATTGTGTGTCAAGTGAGAATAAAGAGGTGCCGCCGCCGCCGTCGTATCTGTGTCGCCGGGCGCCACTCAGTCCGTGTCAGGTGAAAGCGGTAAATGAAGCTTGCTTTGCAGTGCGCAAACAAAAGCAAGAGACTGGAAAGTACAACTGGTTACAAAGCAAAGTACAATGGGTGCTGAAAGATAACTCGGAAAGAGTGAGAGGGAGAGTTTTGTTCAACTGTAAAACAAAGGTAACGATGATGACGAGGAAAAAGTGAGACAATGTTCGATCTCTACTAGAAAACTGTTGCTGCTGCTGCTGTCACTTGGGTGACGGTGCAAGGTGCAAAGTGCAAAGTGTGCTCAGGGTTAGGCTATGGAGCGATGCAGAGGAAGTGGACAAACCACCGCACCAGAAGAAAAAACTGCAGAGAATGAGGAGGAAGAAGACGAAGAAAAGGTCTAGAAGTAGTAGATCATCGCACTCAAAAGTGACTCAAAGTGCTCTTTTTCAGTGACTGGCCAAAAAGGCAACTCCATCTAAATAAAAATATTTTTTTGATTAATAAAAAAAGTTCAACTGCACTATTGCCTAGTAGTAGTGCTCACCTTCTGGGAAATGTTTTGATCATCAGACTTGCCGATGATGATGTAGGGACATGCAGTACCGTAACGGTTGACTACTCGATTTAGAATGTGCTCTTTGGCTGTAAAAGAAATTTATCATTAGTTAATGAAATTGATATGATGAAGTTTGCAAAATTGATTTCTCTAGCACTACGGCAGTTTACTTACTTGATTTAGTGTAACTGTAAATGTTGTTTACCGCAAAGTAGGGACTGAGCTTGAAAAGCATTACTTTAGATAAGGTTTTAATGAGCGGCGACGAAGAGATCAGGATATTGAGACAGTTGGGTCTGCAGTGGTCCAAAAAGTGAGGAAATGAATGATTTAATTAACAACATTACAATCTTAAAAGGAAGATCACATCCAAATTGGATGGTCACATTTACCGCGACTTGATGCAGTGCAGCGCTTTGATAGCTGAGCTAATCCAGTTGTTGGTAATCGACTCATAGCGACGCATCAACGAGTCTAGCTGCTCCAGCTCGGGTTTGTCAAGCAGTTCTGTAAAAACAACTTTAAGTTAGTTGTGCATGTCTAAAGTAAACTTTCTCTAAGGTTAATGAACGGCAATCGATAGTAGTTTTGCAACTGCACGAATGCACAGTCACCCATGTCAGTAGGCAAACCGCCCCAATTCTTCGGTGAGATCTAAACTATTCAAAAATCTAATGCAATTGCACAATACCATGGTTATGTCACTGGCAAAAATGTTTGTGCAACAAATAGGACAGGTATCGGCCAGTTTGCCAGTGCCAATGATGATGACTTGACACGGTTTAGCTTGTATGTAACTTATGAAATTGAAATTTTCAAAATGACAAAAAAGGAAGAAAAAAGAAGCTCTCAAGCGGGATAGTGTTGCTTATCTCACTGGGCCGATTGCAAGACCGATTAACCTCTGCAGCACGCCCGTAAAGATCAAATGGACTGTCTGTGCTAACTCTTTGACACACTCTAGCAGTGAGAAAGGCTAATTGAACAAGACTGTCTCCACTTTAAAGTCATTCAGAGATGATGATGATGATGATGATGTTTTTGCCTCACTTTTATTTTTCTTCACTTTCTCATTTTCACTCTCATCTGTCACTCTTTGTCTTCGCCCTCATCGTCGCAGAAACCTTGTCGAACTAGTGAATCAACAAAAATGCACTCACCATGCAACTTATCGGCGTAAGTGTTATAAACTTCGGCGATCTTCCGAAACCGTAATGCCATCTTCTGTCGGAGATCGACACTACTACTTCGAGTACTACTGCCGCCCATTTGAGTGGTGACGGTGGACTTGAAGCCGTCATTGCTAAAGTCGTAATTGCTTATGTCTTGCCCATTATCGTCGGCTGCCGACTCCTCGACAAATGACTGGTCAATGTTCTGTTTATGACGAAATAGTCAGAGAGATTGTAGCGCTATTTTAAAACTTTCACTTACACTTAAATCATCAAGGAATAGGTATTTTTCTCCGAACTTGATAATGAACATTTCAAATTCATTGTACAGTGCTTGAAGGTGAACAATGTGCTCCTAGATTTAAGAAAAAGAATAAAACAATGTAAAAAATAAAAAAATATTCTGAAGCTAGTAGGGTTGCGAAAGGGAACCTAGGTTGCCACAATCACCATAATGGTTATCCGACACCGTCAATTCTTATCGTTTTTTGAATAGCTAATGAAGGCTACGGCGACAGTCAGTGTTTGCCATAAATCATTCAGTGGCAAGCTACTTGGCCAAACGTTCGTCACCATAAGCTTTTCCACTGCAACTATCTGCCGACAGCAAGGTCAGCTGCTGAAGATCCTCTCTAAGCTTAAACTGCATTGCCTTGCTCTAATCTGACTCAAAAATAATTCTGCAGCAAAAAAAATTATTAAACCGCCAAGCAGTGGTTGTGTGACAGAAAGCTTATCGGTGACAATTAATTATGGCAGTGAACCGTGCACCATGTGCGTATGTGCTGTGTGTGTGTGTGTGCTGTGCGACAAGTGTGCATTTAATTAGCCTCAAAACAGCAGCAACAGCAATTTGGTCGTGGACTGATCGATGGTTTGAGCCAGTCAGTGGAGTGATATTGAAAAAAACTGTCGCCACTGGAGGACAGAGGGGTGGAGAAATGGAGGGAGAGAAGGCTAGCTACAGAGGCTATCTGGCAAGTCACCACTACTTACATTGAAGCTGCCGTAGCGATTATTCTCGGTCATGTTGACGAAGACAGTCTCGTCAATGCACCACACAAAAATGCGATTTATGACAGTGTCCGGCGATGGTGATGGGTTCAGGTTTCTCTTGGCTCGTCCGCGACTGCCCGTCTTCTTGGCTGTGTGCACGTCAGAGAAACAGGGTCAAATGTCTTTGATTAGTATGGCATAGTTGCATGTGTGC